GCGCCGCTGCCTGCACCTCCACCTCCGGAGCTGCGGCCCCCTGCTTCTTCTTCTTCTTCTTCAGCATCTTCTCCAACTTCTTCCTCTCCTTCTCGCGCTGCTTCTCCTCCTTGCGCCGCTGCTCCAGCAGCTTCTTCTCCAGCTTCTTCCTCTCTTTCTCGGTCAGCAGCTGGGCAGGAGGCGCCTCGCGCGCCGGGATCTTCGGGGGCTTCGAGGGCTTCTCCGCGGCCCCGGGCTTCCTGGGCACCGGCGGCACGTGCGGCTCGGCCAAGGCGGCCACCGCCGCAGCTTCGGCCGCCGCCTCGGCGGCAGCGGCCGCGGTCTTCTTCTCGTTCTCGGCCGCGCGGGCTCGCATCTTCATGGCCAACCTCAGCATGGTGGCTCAGGCCCCTCGGGGGACACGGCTCGCGCCTGGCCCGGGTGCCCTGCTTGACCCCGGGCTCGCTCTGCCCGGCCCCGGTGCGCCCCGTGTCGGGGACTTGGTGGCGGTCCCCGGGTAATCCCTGGGCCGCGTGGACGGCTGCCCGGACTTGGGGCTGCTGGGCGGGTTGCCTAAGAGTTAGCGCCAAAAAAGGATGAGCGAACGAAAAAAGCACCCCAAGACAGCGAGAAACCCCCCAAAAAAGCACCAAGAAATGTCAAACAACTCCAAAAAGAGTGCAGTGGCCAGAAGGCGCGGGTTTCAGTTACCCTCCGGTGCTCCGGGCTTGGGCTCTGGGCGCGCCAGTGGAGAGGAGAGCACAAGAGTGGAGGAGTGTCCGGGACGCGGGGCAGCGATGCCCCGTCCCAGCCCAGGTGGCTGTCGCCCGCCGGGCAGGTCGCGCTTCCACGGAGGCCAGGCGCCCGGACTTACATGTGAGTGAGGTGCACTCACACGCAAGGCAGTGCCGCCGCCGGGACAGGGACAGGGTGCGCTCCAGCCGCCGCAGCAGCCCCGAGAGCGGGCAAGGGCAAGAGCCGGGCTAGCCACCTGAAGCAGCCCGCTCCGCGGCGCCGACGCGACTGAGTGTCCCTGCCGGGGAGCTGCGCTCCTGACCGCCCGATGACGCCCCAGCCTCTTCAGAGGACCGACCCACAGCGGTGGACCCTATAAACGGAAGGGGAAGCGCGAAAAATCGGCCCGTACGGGAGACGCCCAAAAAATCCGCCGCGCACCCCGGGGGGTGTGGGCGAGTTTGGGGGTCTCT